GGCCTGCTGTGTTCATCCAGCTCTACACCTTGTTATCTCAGCTACAAGTCCATGTTGTTTTCTCCATGACAAAACCCCAGCCAATAACAGTCAACCTGCCAACAAATAGCACCTTTCTGCTTTTCAGAATGAAGTGTTACAGTTGCTTGAAATTTAGCATTTCTGTATTTGAGCTGACTTTTTTTTATTCATTCACGGGATGAGGGCATCACTGGCTAGGCTAGCATTTATTGCCCATCCCTAAATGCCCAGAGGGCAGTTATGAGTCAACCACATCTGGAATTACATGTAGGCCAGACCAGGTAAGGATGGCAGTTTCCTTATGAACGAGATGGGTTTTTCCGAAAACCGGCAATGGATTCATGGTCATCATTAGACTCTTAATTCCAGATATTTACTGAATTCAAATTCAACCAGCTACCGTGGCGGTATTTGAACCCAGGTCCTCAGAACATTACCTGGGTCTCTGGATTAACAGTTCAGCGATAACACCACTAGGCCATCGCCTCCCCATAATGGGTGGAAGGTGAAACATTTCGACAATAAGCCTCTCTTTTCAGTATCTGTTTGACCTGATGTTGTTGCATGTTTGGATTGTGTCCTTGGAAAGCTTAGGAACCATGTTTAACATGGAAACATAAATCATAAAATTTGAGATCGACAAGGAAAATTTAATGCATCGCAGATGAAAGCAAATTCTAGAAATTCATAGGCAAGTTATCAATCCCATGTGCAAGAACTTACTTAACCACCCTCACAGTCAGTATTGATTCTTTTACAGAACCTCTTCAGCCTGCTTCTGCTCCTCTTAGTTGTACCTTTGCTGCTGTTCAGGGCCCAGAAATGCTTTTTTGCAGGGCAAAGTTATGCAGCATACTGCAGACCCTGACACTAATTTATTGTTCTGCCTAATCCAAACTACAGTGCTAGATGGGCAAAATTATATACAAAAGAGTAAACAAGACTGTGCTTTACCTCATATCGACAACTTCTAGCCGTGTGAAGTTGCAACTCTGGTACAGAGCTATCATTTTCAGGTCTTGCACTGTGAAGTTTAGCAAAGATCACAGTAGAAGAAGGCACACTGAAATTAAAACATTAGAATATTAGAATTCAATACAGAAAACCAATTTAACTAAAGTAAATTCTGCAGCAACTTTATTCATTGCTAAGAACCAATACTTTGCCTCAGACACCATTCCATTAGGAAATTTCAATTACTAGAAACATATAGCATCATGTCAATATTAGAGCATCCTACACAGTAAATATGGATCTATGTGTGCTCTCTGAAACAGAAATGGAATCTGATGATGGGAAGGGCTCATTTTAAAAAGTGAGATACTACAGATAATAGAAATCTGAAATATGAACAGATAATTCTGAAAACACTCAGCATGTCTGGTTGCATCTCTGAAAGTGATATAAGAGGCAGGAATTGGGGCAAAAGCAGGAAAGAGTACATTGAGTAGACTAGTCAATATGTTCCTGACTCTGAATGATGTTGCCAGAGGAGACTGAGTTTCGCAGTGGTCATCTGCCTAGCTACAGCAGTAGCCAATTAAGTCCCTTATTTGCCCATTTGGCGCAAAGATGCCAACTCTACTGGATTCTTCTTGTACAGAGGTCAAAGTCTAGAAGTGAACTTAATGCAGTCTTATAGGGGCTATTGACATCTTATTTCCATCACACCAACACTCTGGCTGGGATGTGATCAAGTGGAGCCCCTCCCTACAGCAGAGGCCTGATAGCTGTGGTCCTGAGAAGCTCTTCACTTTCTTACAATGTGGTGAAGAATGCCTCCATTTTGGACATTGCAGCAGGCCTTCTGACTGGGCCTCTCACTTCACTGGGCCAACTACAGTCCTTAATTGAATTTGGCTGCAAAAGACAGCACCTTAATTGGTTATGTGTGGAAAGAGCAGAAAAGACATGTGGGGAGATCACAAGGTACCTCCCGCCATGTCCACTTCTAGGTTCCAGACCTGGAACTGAGCCTCATAGGGGGATTGTGGTCCAATAGGAAAATTCATTGTAAGGTTTCTGGTCGATCACTATTTATCCAAATTATAAAGCTCCTTTTAAAGTAATGGAGTATTGCTTCTTGCATACAAGGGAAAGAAAATTTTTCAACCCGTGTTGTCTAATAAGCTCATAACTTACCCCATGTGAGGAATTGATGCCAAATAATACTAAGTTGTATTAAAGTTACAATAATGGGTATGAGTTTGGATGTCACTTACTCGACTGCTATTTGTTGTTCATTCCTAACTGAGCAAGCATGAATCAACCATGTTGCTGTTAGACATGAATAGCACATTGGTCAGACCAGAAAGCATTTATCAGAATATAGTTCAGTTGTCAGGTTTCTCGTGTCCTGGAAGCTGACATCTGTTACCTTCTCTCTGCCTGTTCTCAGTGGCTGCTTGAAAATGACTATGTGTGAAACACTGAAAGCAGGGCCAAGCCTTTGGAAGAACAGCAGTTTGACTGCTCTAGAAATTTTGTTGGAGAATCTAATTATTTAATTTAGCATTACATAGTCATTGTTTGAACTGCACCTTAGCTGCAGCCGAGATGAGCTTGACGATCCGTTCATATTGGGAGCTGCAAAGAGGCCATGGCCAGTCCCTCAGTGGCTAGAAAGAATCCTGTCACTGCGGGAGATCAAATAAGGTTCAACAAGCCATGATGAGAGGTTGTTCCTGGTGAACGGTCTCTCAAGTCTGCAGTTGTTACTTTTTAGCATGGTGGGTTTAAATAAGGGGTTATCAGCATTCTCATCGTTCTAGCTGTCATTACCCAGCCCACACCAGGGAAGCCAATGATCCTCCAAATTCCTCAAGTCTGCAACTGAAAAGTTCTAGCATCATGAAACCATAAACAAGAGAAATTACTAAAGCAGGGCATGCTAATTTATGAATATGCTATTGTTTAAATGGTAGTTGGCAGTTTTCTCAAAACAGTTGATGTGTGAGAGCAACAGAGAGTGTTGAATGACTGCTAACAAAGGTTGCAATGTACAATTTTGGCAAAATGGATGATACAGCAGCATTTAAATGCATTCAACCTTCATCTTAATAATTCTGTAAGGTACAGTTAGAGCAAGTTGAACATGAGTGAAGAGTATATTAAATGTCACTGTTCTGAAATAGCAGGCAGCTGAGATAGCAGAGCAAGAGTGCAGTAATTACTGCATAGAGATATACTGATTCAATTTTATTGTGATTTTTGATTCTGTCCTCCCAAAGTCTCAAATTTTGAAAAAATACTTCAGAAAAGTTTTTTTTAAATAAACAGGCGCAGATGGTCAGGATATAATGTTTCAGATAACAGACTACCACCAGACTTCGAGAGCATATACAGCAAATTCTGCTTTTGCCAATCAGTTAGTTTGTAAAACTCATATGAAGCTCTTATCCTGATTTTGATGGTGGTTTAAATCCTAAAACGTACTTTCAATAGATTGTGCCTTTGTTTTATTAAATTGTACACGTCTTAGATCATGTGGTGATTATGGTGATCCGATTACTACAGGTTTGGTGAGTATCGAAATCATACTGAACAACACTGCTTTAAATATGCTTCAGATGCATGTCAATGGGAGGTGTCTTCAAATAAACAATCCTAGCAAAAGAAAACAGACAAAATTGGTTCAATAATCCCTCTCATACTGAAACACAAGCAGAAGTCTAGGAACTATTGGCAGATTAGCAAACTCCCACTTCCCACACTTTCAGTCCTAATTAGGTCCAAGTGATTTGCTGTCAAAATCAATAAATGTCAAATTCCTGCTGCACCATTCATCATCATTAACTCAAAACAACAACTCTCCACCTTCTTAGTTGGCAAAAAAATCCACAGATATGCCATGTGAGTACTTTACACCCCTTCATTCTGTAATATTGTCTATAAAATCAAGTTGGAATGTTTAGAAGGTCAGTGACAGAAAATCATACACAAATTGTGAGCTTTTGTTCCACCGTGTTATATAATGGTCACTTGGATATTTTTAGAAAGTGATCAAATGCAATTGCAGCATTATATGTGTATTGCTTTAATATTTTAATGTCAGTAGTGCACACAAAAATTGATATTACCAGGCAGAAGATTTAACATTCAGTTTTGTACCTTACGAGAAAAATTCTGATTTTAACATGTTTATAGTATATTTCTAAAATTTTGTAATAATCTACTTAATGTTACACTCTCATGTATAAAAACATCTGACATTCATCATTAGTTATATGTGTTCAGAAACTAATTCATCAGTGCCACCAAATCTCACCAATGACTAGTCCGTGCTAAGCTTGAGATTGTTGACATGCAATCATTCCTTTTGTTAACTGATACCAATGCTGACATTCCCAACCCAGCATTCACACTCTACCTTGTCAATTCCTTCAAATCCTCCTCCAGACTTTATTGTTTTGTCACTTCTTCCTCTCAAAACAACAGTCAAAGGCTTGGCCTTCCCTACTCTCCTCCAGTTAAGGCCCTTAGATTTTCTTTCTCCCTTATTCATGTTGTAGTTAACTCTGGGAGCACCATTCTGGCTTGGCTGGAACTCCAAAACAAATGCATTTGGACCAGTAAGACAACCCATTCTGTCTAAGGGAGGGGTTTAATAAAACCTAGATACTAGCCCCTTGGTCTTTTGCTGACACTCTGCTCTTTCACCAGAACCAGATCTCAGATTCTTGCCCTTTTTAATTCTCATGCCTTGGCATTTCTTAATTCCTCCCAAAGTGAGCCCCTGTTTAAACCTTCTTTCCCTCCGACCCCGAACTCTAGCTCCTCTTTTTTACCCAAACAGAGGTAATAAGACATTTTCTCCCACAGTCGGGAACTCAGAGGGCACTTGGTTCCAATTGTCCTTGGATAGCAAGAAACAAAAATAATTCAAAAAGTAAGAGGGAAAAAAGGAAAGAGAATGAAAGTAAAATCAGATGGTCATAAACATTACACATGAAAGCCTGAAGACGAAACTTTAAAACAGTTAAGTCTATCAGTTCATAAAATAATACTGGCCTTGTCGTCACAACAAAATCTTCATGTGACCACGGTACATGAAACCTGTACACATCCTCCATTTTCCCTGTCAAATTAAAAAGAGACTCATGTAACTAACATGCCAAAGAAGCATTTACATTGATCTAGAATATATGTTAGGTAACAATAACCAATTTGAAGATGCTACTTAGCAAAATAGCATCTTAAAAATGGTGAAAAGTATTCAGTGCTGAAAATGTTATATCTCTTCATGGCTTTTTAATCATCAGTTCCTCAAGTCATTAATATTAACATAGTTACATAGGGATGGTGGGATTCAAGTTTAGAATTGAATGCTGGGCACTCAAGCTTCCAATGACTTTCTGCATTCCCTCACAAACAACCACGGCTCTGCTGGAGTGCTCTTGCTTTCTTCCAAGTTTTAGAAGACTCACCCCATGGTACTGTCATTTTGCTCAACAAGTTTGGGTAAGTAGTATGACAACTGGAACAAATGTTGGAAGAAAGTAGCTTTCCTTGTGTCAAACTATGTTTTTTTTTCACCTGAGCATGAGTGTACTTGTGAAGACAAAGGAATCTACTTTGGAAGATCATGGGTTCTCAACAACAAGGTGCCATTCCATCAGGACGAGGTATCAACTAAACACCTTGTTCCAACCTGTACTCACATATCTACATTGCAAGTTCCATAGTTCTAGGCTTAAGATGGGGCCAGGAACATGCAGCTCCCAAACTGACATCTATCAAATTTTGAATGCTTTGAGTTTTCTGTGACTTCCTCCAACAATGTGCTGCCGATAGAAAGCTTTAAAAAAATCAGCTCTGAAAAATGCGTGTTGAATGCTTCACCAAGACAAATGGCAGCCTGTACTATCGCCCACATTCAATCACAAGTTGTGAAGGGGAATTAATTAATAAGATATTGCAATCACTCCAGCACCAGCTGCTCTGTTTGAAAAGTTTGCTGAAAATGACATAAACTGATTAGTTGCTGTAATCAAAAAGCTAATTGATTGGTATTAATGAGTTAGTGCACAAAAAGTGTATAGGATGCAATGCGTAGGGCACTGATTAGTTTAGTGCATGAGTACCCTTAATGCTATGCATATGCTGGAAGAATTTAATCAATAAAAGACTGCACTCACTCTGGCCCTGGTGCTGATTCTGTGATGGTGAGCGTATGTGTCACGTGTAGGCAGAGAAATCGCTGAAGAAACAAACTTTGGCTCATGTGTTGAAACTACTTTAAAATGGGTGCAAAAAAGTAAGGAATTGAAAATGAAAATCAGGAATTCCAAGATGAATGGACTGATCCCAAATTTGTCCGGCCTCCCTGTGTGTCTCATTTACAATGAGAAATTTGCCAACAAAAAAAATCAAAAGCACAGTGGTTTAGCTGAAAGTTATCCCACTGGAGCAACACAAAAGAAAGAAGTGAGGGAACTGAAAAGGCAGGGGAATCCAGGAATAAATTGTGGGCAGAATCACTAAGTATGCACAATTTCTGATAGTTTTGTAGCAGTTCAAGAGGCTGTGAAACAAGAAAAGTGTTCATGGATGAATATGTAAAAGAGTGCTTTATCAAAGTTTCAACGATTTTAAAATCAAAACTGAAATCATTCAAAACAATTCAAGTCATGCCTTTATTTGTGAAGAACAAAGGGGACAAAACAGTGAAAATAGTCACTGATATCATCAGTCAGCAGATTTAGGATTTAAATTCAGCTTCAGTGTGACCATGTGATTCCAAGTAAGATTTTCAAATAAAGCTAGGTGAGAAGCCAATTGAAGGATGATTGTTTACAGTTCTGCTTGAAAATAAAAGCTTACAGTCCAGTTATTGAGTCTTGTTCTGAAAATGCGCTTTCAAATGCTAAATTGCAATAGTGAAGGAGAAAGTTCATCGCCATTTAGTAAGGTAAGATTTGATCAGGGATAGTCAGCATGGCTTTGTCAGAGGGAGGTCATGCCTAACAAATCTGGTGGAATTTTTCAAGGAGTGACCAAGTGTTTGGGTACAGCAGTTGATGCAGTTTATATGGATTTCAGCAAGGCCTTTGACAAGGTCCCACTGGGGAAATTGATAAAGAATCATGGGATCCAGGGGGACTTGGCAAAATAGATCCAAAATTGGCTTAGTGGCAAGAGACAGAGGATGGTGGTTGAAGGCTGCTTGTGTGACTGGAGCCCAGTGGTTCAGTGGCATGCCACAGGGATCAGTTCTGGGTCCCTTATTATTTGTGAAATTCATAAATGATGTAGATGAGAATATGGGAGGGGGGTTGATGAAGTTTGTGGCTGACGCTAAGATTGGACAAGTGATGGACAGTGAGGAGGGTCAGGAGGAGGGTCAATGGATGCAAAATATTAATTTTGCTTTCTCTGCACAGATGCTGCCAGACCGGCTGAGTTTTCTGGTTTAGTTTCTAATTTCTAGTATCCATAGTTCTTTGGTTTTTTTGTCTAGTGAGGAGGAAGGTGTTAAGTTACAGGAGGATATAAACAGATGGGTCAGATGAGCAGATGAAATTTAACTCTTATAAATGTGAAGTAATGCACTTTGGAAGAAGGAACAAGACAAGGGAGTACTCAATGAATGGTAAGACACAAGAAGCCTCAGAGGGAAAAAGGAGTCCAGGGACGCTTGTCCATAGATCCCTGAAGGTTGCTGGATAAGTTAATAGGGTAGTTAAGAAGGTATACGGAATACTTGCCTTTATCAGTCATGGCACAGATTATAAAAACAGGGATGTCATGTTGGAGATGTACAAAACTTAGATTTGGCCATAGCTGTAGCAATGCGTGCAGTTCTGGTCACCACACTATAAGAAGGATGTGATTGAACTGGAGGGGGTGGAAGGAAATTCACTGGGATGCTGCTTGGGATTGCGAATTTCAACAATGATGTGACACTGGATAAGCTGGGGTTGTTTTTTTTTCAAGCAGTGAAAATTTGTGGGGAGGGGGGTGTGGACCTGATAGAGATGTATAAAATTATGAGGGGCATGGACAGGATGAATGGAAAACAGCTGCTCCCTTAGTTAAAGGGTCAGTTATAAGGGAGCATAATTTTGAAGTGGAAGGCAGGAAGTTTAGAGCAGACTTGAAGATAAACCTTTTCACCCAGAGGGTGATAGGACATCTGGAATACACAGCTTGGGAAGATAGCTGAGGCAGGAAACTTCACAACCTTTAAAAAGGTACTTGGATGTGCAATTGAAGTGTCATAACATGCAATGCTTTGTGCCTAGTGTGGGAGGTAGCTTTTTTAGGTGGTAAAGACTTGATGGGCCAAAGGGCCTCTACTGTACTGCATGATTCTACAAATTTCATCAGCTCTTACCACACGTTGGGCTTTTAAAATGGCAGTTTTTAACTGAAATAAAGAACATCGAAACCCAAGGCAGCCATAAACTAATTTACTTCACTAGGTGGCTGGATACATCTCCTTGGCATTGAGACAGAGACCTCTATGGAAATAAGCATCTCCTGAATGCAGGATATGACTCCTTCCTCTCTCAGCAAGATGAAAAATGTAATGAATGGTTGGAAGAGATCACGTGGCCCACCTCTCTGCTCATGTAACTGCTGAATTTAAACTTGCAGACCGAATCTGATAAAGGACTTCAGGTGCAACAGCCTTCCCACCTTTCTCTCTCAAATTTCTCTTAAAAGCTCTGGGCCCTGTTTGTCTATTGAAGACATCCCACCTTGTTGCAAAAAGAATTCCAAAGGAAGACTTCAACCCAGCAATAATTCCAGAAGAAGGGAGACAATTAGTGGCATTATTAACAAGGAAATACATAAGTCCATCAAGATAATACTGACATCATACAGGACTTCACTTATCTGTGCATTTTCATTCATATGCAGGAAGAAGCAGATAAAGACCTCAAATGAGAATAGATAAAGCATCATTAGCTTTTAATTAACTGAAAAATATTTTGAAAAATGAAACATGGAACAGTAAAAAGATCTCCATGAAAACAAAATTTTGGTTTCTTCAATAAGGAAGGAAACCAGGCACTCTTGATACCAGATCTCTTTCTATTTTATTCAAAAGGTTCCATGTATACAATGGAGGAATTTTGTACCCAAAACTGAAATAAGGAAACGCTCAGAATAGCCTCCAATTTCAACCATTATCTGCAATAGACAGCTCAGCTGGGCACATGTAGAATGCCCTCTGAGTTGAGATAATGCTCAAGTGTTCCAAGAGCAGCACTTGGGTCTTTACGGTCCTACTTCAAATTGCCTTTGGCTGAATACATAACTCTTCCTGTCTCAGTTACTGCACAATGGTAACTGGCTAGATGCAATAGCATACAAAGCTACAGGTTAAGTACTGGAAAATAGGCAAAGAGTAGATAGTTGCTTGATGAATGAAATGAAAATGATGGGCTAAAGGGCCTTTTTCTATGCAGCATGACTCTGTGTTAAAAAGAAGAAACGTGGACACACATATGATTCTATGATACTGATACACCTTGCTTTAAAATGATAACTTACCATGGGTAAATTGGCATTTACTCCTTACGTGGATTTTAAAAGCCTGGTATATCTAAATGGAACAGAGATAAATATTGGATTTGTTAAAAACTCTTTAATCTCTCTTTGAAGTAAGTCTTAATGCTATACAATTCTCACTGTAACAAAGTAATGTACCTGGTTAAAGTTCTGAAGCTTCACCTTGTGAATCAGACCAGTAGAGTTTATAACAATTCTGTTGCTTGAGGTACCTACACAGAAAGAATGCATTTAGTTTCTCAACGTAATTTATGAGCATAGTTAATTAGGCTTTCTGCAACAAACATAAAAGATGAGGAAAAAAAATTATGTACCAAAAGACAGGATATTTGTCACTTGGGTAGTCATCATTCTGGACTCTGCTTTCAAGAATTCACATTCTATGCTGAACTGTGAAAGAATATGTAACAGGATAGTTACAGAATTTAAAAGCTTACTTGTGTATTTAGAAATTAGGTTGTCTTCATACTTTTGTCTCTTTGTAAACAACACAAACTTTCTCAAATGATTCTTAAAGGATGACATCAGGCCCAGCTTTTTAATCACAATAGACAGCCTCATGATGAAAATCACAGAACTGTAAAAATCCTGAATATGGCAGTTCCCACTTTCCCTGGGGCGCAAATGGGGGTGCAACGTGTTCCACACATGCGCGTTTTAAAGCAGCAGCTGGTCATTTAAATCATCAGCTGCCTCCACTGAAGTGGGATGTTGGTACCTTTGGAATATAATAAAATGGTATACAAATTAGACCTAGTAAAAACAGGTCTGAACTCTACATATTTGTTTGTATAGTCAAGGTACCCCTTTGGAGCAGTAAGCTAAGGTCCTGGGATAAAGAACCCAAGAGAACAGGTTTTGTTTTCATGTTCAGTAAAAGCCAAGGTTGCGAAGTCGTTCACAATGAACTAGCCCTGAAAAGGGCTCCAGGCACAGCCATGGGGCTGATCATAGTACAAAAAAATTGTATCGACTGTTAAAAAGCCTCCTAATCTTGGACACTTGCCCTATATTAGACAATTTTTCAGCCGCAACCTTTTTTTCCAGCATTGTGCTAGAGGTCATCAAACGCCTAGTGAACCCCGGTAGATCCAGGTGCAATGGTGGTGATCCAGGTCTGAATTGTTAGGCTCCTGATCAACCCCTAGGCTCTGCCATCCAAGCAGGACACATGCAAAATGTGCAAGAAAGAGAGTGAGTAGCATAGAATACTCCTCCACCTACGCTGCCGCTGTCATGATCAAAGCCCCAGGACAAAGAAGCCAAATGTTGGCCATAACATGCATATCAAATGAGACTAGTTTGGCTAGCAGTCTAGCTCCCCTCAGTTTGACAGCAGTGACTGGCAAGCAGAAAAATAATTTGAGGGCTAGGGGTTCCCTAAAGTGTCAATGTGGGTGGGGGAGACCTATGCTGAAGGTTCCAGACAGTGAAGAATCAGCCTTTTAATTGCAGAGGGTTACAAGAAACATTTTCGCAACCAGTTCCAAAGTACTTAATAATGGATTATGTGGTACATACAACAAATAAATTGTTAGCAATTTACCTACTTAACAATAAAACTACATTACTCAAAACTATTCTTTAAATTGTAGTTATTCTTTTTGCTGTTGCGAAACAAAGTAGAATGTTAACCATTCAAATTTGATTCAAAGTGCTTTTACTGTTTTTATATTTATGCAACATTTATATAAAAACAAACTGGTTCACCTTTGCAATGTGAGGATTAAAAATCAACCTCAGTTTAAGGTCAAGCTCTTTTGACAAGTACGAATATCCAAAGATCTTACATAAACAGAAATCAAAGGCCGTCTTTGGAAAACTTACTGAACAATCACAGCATTTGCTCTAGCACTTCTACTCTTGAAACAAAACACATAGATCAAAATGAAGGTAACATTTATAACGCAGCATGCTGCTGTTGTTAGGCAGTATAAACTGTTGATTAGGCAGATTTTGTTTTAATAACTAATGACAACTCCAAGATGATCCAATTCACGCTTCAATAATGTGAAGTCTCATGAATTAAACACAAACATACTCAAAGATGTTTAGCAAAATGCCACATCAAAACTTCACACTGTTTTGTATCTATCAATTTTTGGGTACATTATTTCTTTCCCAACAGTAGCAAAATAAATAATGAATGAAGTGTCTGACAATTCTACTGTTAAAGTGTGACGGGTCTTTTTATTTCTCTTTAGGTCTCACGAATTGAGGATTCTGCAAATTATGCCTTGTGTGGACAGTTTTTGGTCTTTGATACTTTTTTACTGCTCAATGAAACAGAAATAAAACTGTCAAAAGATTATGATACATTATACACCAAATTAAATACTCAAATTTCATTTTCAGTTCAGCTGAAAGAATAAGGCCATGAAGTATCCCTACAAATCAGCAAGTAAATGATTCACAGATAAGGTGTTTCTCAGTCAGTCTGTGCTGAGGCAGCTGTCATGAGAACACACCTGACTGAACCATGCACTATTTAGGCAAGGGTATTTAGGACTGTGGAACCAAGACAAGTAGATCAAGTTAAAGTAAAGATCAACTATTATATCGTTAAACTGGTTCAAGAGCTAAATAGCCTATTCCTGTTCTTAAAATCTTGTCAGACTTCTCCTGCTCCAGTAATTGTTGCTGGTGTGCACAAGCCAGCACTGGCAGGGGCAGAATTCAATCTGAAAACGATGCTCCACACAACTTAATAGCTTGTTGTCACTCACTGACTAGGTTCACACATGACAAATGGGCACTAATTGGAAGGGACAAAAAAAAACCAATTTTAATAGAACTATACATTAGCAGTAAGTCTGTGAATTCACAAACACTATGGTATAGTTATACAGAAGGTATCAATTTGAGTTCAGTACCTAATAGTATCAGAACTACTAGTTCAAGATATAAAGATGTACCTAGCCTCTCATCACACTCTACACCACGTAAAGCTGAGTACAGCAGCATTCAAAGGTTTTTTAGATTTTAAAGTAAGCCATGACTCAAAAAAATAGATGAAGTTATTCTAGCAATGAAAGAGATAAGCATCAAGGTTAACGGTTCTAGCCAATCCAGCAGTTATATTGCACTCGGCAGGAAGTCAATGCAGTGTGCGATAACTTTACATCTGAGTCATAGTAGTCAGGCAATATTCAATGAAGTCTTCATTATGACAAAAAAAGTAGTAAAAATTTGGATAGGGTAAAAGCAGAATATTACTTAAGGGTCAAACAAGTTAGGAGGACTAGCCCAACAAAAATCTAGAAGAGTGAAGCACATTTTTCAAATAGATATTAGAAAACATTTGCTTCAATTGAACAGCAATATCTAGGATAATCTTCCAGACGTATTTGTAAAGTTATCACACACTGCGTTGACTTCCTGCCGACTGCAATATAACTGCTGGATTGGCTAGAACCGTTAACCTTGATACTTATCTCTTTCATTGCTAGAATAACTTCATCTATTCTTTTGAGTCATGGCTTACTTTAAAATATATCTTTGTATCTTCCAGACATGACAATGAAAGCTAAATATTATGAACTTTTCAAAATGCAATTGGTATCAATATCATTGGTTTCTTAAAATGTCAAGAATTTCATTTTAAGCAAGTGGGAGGCGATTGCTCCCTAAACATTTTCCATCCCCTAGATAATCTGGATAAGACTAGCAGAGATGGGATCTGAAATCTGATGTATTAATTTATTGTTCAACTCTCCAGTGCCAGAGTTAGCTCTTTGATGCTTTTATACAAGTGGATGCATTTATCACTAATTACAAATAAAAAACAACAATTGCAAAGATTTTGGCAGTGAAGGAGGTAAAATAGAAATATTTACGTAATTAAATAGATAAGACTGTGTGACTGTCATATTGTTTTCACTTACCTGCTTATTAACACTAGCCTTAGATATATGAATGATAAAATGAGAGAAAGACCGGTACTCATCCAGATTGAAGTTTACTATCTGAAGAAAAAACAACAAATTAGGATTTAGAAATTATATGCTATATTGAAACTAGCAAATCCTGGAATCATTCTTAGTTGAAGGTACTGCTAATTAATTAAACTATTGGTTCTGATTAATTGACCAGATAATTAACTCAAAGAAACTGACGCTGGATATCAATGTGTTCCAACAGTTGATAGAATAATAATTAAAATTGTATTCCAATTAATACTTCTGACAAATAGAACTCACACATTTGTAAATTAACACAAAAGCCTTTAATGCAAATACTGAAATATTTTTAAGTTTAAGATTTGGTCATATATTCATAAAGATACTTCAAAATTAGAGAGACAGAATAATCTGGGGGCAGAGAATCAAAACAATATTGTTACAAACTCCAAGATGGTTCTTTGGTCAGAATTTGCACTCTTCAAACGATCCTGTTGTCTCCTTCAATGTTTAACTAAGTATACATTTAGACTGAACATACTGCTTACACTTATATGCTTGAATTGCCACTAGAAATCCATAAACATGTTTAACCTTCATCCTAAAATCTTAATGCTTCACCAAGAGGAATTTACTTTTATAGATTACGTGGGCAGGTAGTGATGTTTGACTGACCCATTGGGAAAACCAAAGGGAACTGAAAAGTGTGTGCAGACAACATAATAAGGGATAACAGTCTGGGCAGATCATCTTAACAGGAAAGCCAAAAAGAACTAAGACTTCTATTCAGGCAAAATAGCGTCAGAACTGTATGCAGTACCATAATGAAGTGCTGATGGAAAGAAAATTTGTACAGATTGAGTAAAAGTATAATTAGAATGAAAATTCTAACCTTACCTTGTACATTTTCAGCAATTCTGCCTCCCCAGTCAAGTCAATGCCTTCATGGCTGCATAGAAAATTGAATTGCAGGACAGAATGTTTACAATAAAATCAAAATTGGAAACCGTTGGCATTCACTGCAGTGGATCAAAGAACTCATGCGACATTCCCAAGCAAACGTTAAAAAGTAATTTTTAAAAATATGCAAACTGCAAAGAAAAGAGTAGCCAAAGCCAACCATAATCATGCACATTAGATAATTCACTACATTCGCTTCAGGAATAAATGTCAAATATAAAGAAATAGAGTGCACAACACAAAGATTAAAAATGCAAATGGAATATATAAGGAGCTTTAATATAATTTCTACTTTTCTAAATCATTAATTCCCGAATTCAGTATTTCTTGGTACCTACACTGCCTTTATCTCGGCCAATTTCTGTATTCTATGAAAATATAATCAATTGCCGGCTATGAACGATGATTATATTGTTATTCTATTGCAGACAGCAATAAACCATATCAAATTAACCTGATCAGTCTGAAAATATGTACCTTTTCTAATCTTCAGAACATCAACCAAACTTTCTTTTTTCTTCTGGTTTTCGAACCTCATCAATTACTTTATTTCACTAGACTATAGGGGAAATTTTTCTGAGTGTGCACTGGCTGTGGTTAACTTTTCCCATGAATAACACAAAAAATCACCAACATGCTGCTCACAATTCCTGTACAATGAGAAAGGAAAAGTGCCTATGATATCCTGGTGGTGGGGTGCTACTTCAAGACTGTATGCTTGGTAAAACTAGACCTATTGCCAATCTGTAAAAATAATGATGATGATACAACTGCGAAAGCATGTGCAACCTTAACAAACATCTTACACAAAAAATAGTAGAAATAACACTAGTCATAAGATGTAAAACCATGTCCTCATCCTATAACCGATAATTTATAAATGCAGGACCAATATGACAATAGGTTTGTAAAGAAAGATCTATATGTAATTTAGCAATCATTTATGAGTTTGCAATGATAATTTTTGATCTGCCTTACAAATGTGCTACACTATATGAATTGGTATCAATAATTTTGATTAATTCAAATAAAACAGGGGCTGAATCATTCAATTAATTACTTTGACCCAATAGCCTAAAACGCTAGTTTCCCAAATTAATTTTATTTCTCATGTTGTTATTCCCTTTTAAGTGCTAAGCTTCAGTTACATCAAAATGGAAACAACTTTCCTAAATTCTATACTTGAACTCAATCTTCTCATTCCCAATTTATTTATATATCCCTTTATTTCTACTTGCAACATATTTAGAGACATATCAGAGAGGCTTTTTCTGAATTATCTACATGACATTCTGATTACAAATTAGGATTCCCTCTATCCTAATTCTTGCTGGAAAGAACAGTAGAATATCTCCATCCATGCATCTTTCCCAGATATTGGTGACATTACATCAGCAGTGCAGGCTTTTCTTATTCCTCTCTGCTCTCAGGAAGAGTTATTGCAACTAAGTTTGAAGGAAATGCAATTGCAAAAGACAGTCAAAAGTAGCATTTGAACTTGGCATGTCCAATACAGCCTAATTCTTTTCATTAAGGACTATTACTTTCACCACTTCAAGGATTGATTTTCCAATTTTCAAATTTACAACATTTGTTCAAATAAATTGCTGTACTTTCTTTACCTCAGTTTTTAAGGTTTCTGAGTATCTAGATGTCGGGATATTTCAGCCTTTGCACCAAACAGCCCACTTGCAACATAAGCAAGTGACTTGCTTCCAGGTACTGACATTATATTTTTCAGGCTGATCACAAGATGCATAAAACTATCCCACTGTGATTCACTTCTTCTACATGTCGCATGGCTCAGCTGACACAACCAAGCAGTAAGAAAACAAAAATGAGCCATTATAGATGATGGTCTAACACTGTGACCCAACAAGGCAATAATTTTTCACATTGATATTGGTTAGTAACTGCGTGAGATGTACAACATTTCTTCCATTCTCAGTAATCTTGACAGAAACTAGCATTATCTCAAGGCAATTTAAAGTATCCAGCCACATTACAAATCTATTTTTCTAATAGATCTATTGTCATCTGAAAAGAATTATCCTTGTATTCCAAATATGCCCTTCACACCCAGATTTTCATTAAATTTGAAGAGTATCAGAAATAAGTGGCATTGTGAAAATAAATATGAAACTTTTATAATGCAAATTTAACAATTGATAACTTTTATTGACAGCTATTTAAAATGATAGTCCTGAAAAACATAGCATAGACCACAGTTTTTAAAACAAAACTGTATAAGATAATTGGAAGCATCATCACATTTACAAGTGCACAAGGGCAGTCAAAAGAGTTACATTCTTAGAAATCTTCCAATGATGCATTGTTGCAAATCTCTGATTTCAGTCATATGTAAAACTAGGGCTGGAAGGATGGGAAGGAATGGGAAGAGAAAAAAAAGGAGTTTACACTGTGTTGAACATGCACTGGTGCAAGTAAAGGTGCCTTTCTGGCATCAGGATTCATCTACATGTGAAATGCAGGCACAAAACCTGCAATGCAACCAGTCCATGTCATACCTAACAGTGAAGTACTTCAAGTGATGACTGAGAGCATAAAAAGGGAAAGGATTCCATTTCCCAGCACTATCATAAAAAACAAACAAAACATAAGTCAGAAAATAACAAGGATTACGTTGAGTGCTAGCCTTAATGACAGGTGCCAACAGTTATGGAAGTACCTTAAATCCCATAATAACTACATCAAAAGGTCATACAACATAGAAATATTCCTTCTTCTTAGTACCATCAATTCTGATTCTGCTCTTTCTATGTATAAATTAAGTATCTGCTCACAGGATTCCAATGAGAAATATGAAGAAAAAAAAACACATCAATAGATCAGAGTCATTCTTGGTATACCAAGATTTCATTTAACATATTTGCAACAAACTATTCCTAATGCTGTTGAGCCATTTGTAAACATTTCTATAATAATTAAATGCTGGCACTTTTATTTCTGCCTTGTGTCTCTATGTAGTAGATTATATTTGATTCAAGCATCCTGTAACTGAAAATAGAGAGGTCAACTAAAGGCAAAATTTTAATTTCTTCCCTGAAGCTACATTTGGGAATATCTAAACCCACCTACGGTCTCAGTGGTAACACTATTGGTTCTCAGACAGAAGTTTGTATTAAAGTCCCAGTTCAGAGACACTTGCACAAAATCCAAGCTGCATTCAGTAACAGATCAAGTATACTGGATGCGATACTAAACTGAAGCAAAGTCTTCCCTCTCAATTACACATAAAATTATATAATCCCTACAATGTGGAAGTAGGCCATTTGGCCCATTGAGCCCACACCAACCCTCCGAAGAGCATGCCACCCTGACACAGCCCCTTACCCTATCCCTGTAACCCTGCATTTCCCATGGCTAATCCATGTTACCTAAACATCCACGTATAGTAAAAGATTCCATCCCATTATTTGGCCAACAGCAATGCTGTACTCTCCAGGATCCTGGCCAACATTTATTCTTTAGCCACTACCATTAAAACAAGTTATCCACTCATGATCACAGTGTGGTTTTGTGGGGAAATTAGTTAACACGCTCCCAATGTATAACGGTGATTAAACTAAATAGCTGAAAAACACTTTGGGATGTACAAAAGTCTTGAGAGGCGATATGGAATTGCATTTCTTCTCTTTCCTTCTTTCTGAGACCAGCAGAGACAGAAATTCTGCTGTGGGTATTTCAATTTACATAACAACCAGGTCCCCTGCTGATCTTTTCAGTGCAGATAGCAATTCAGTGATACCAAGGATTTATGTTTCAAAACAAAACTGGGTCAAGATGCAATGAGGTTAACAAAGGGACTGACTTTCAGTGGACATAGTAAGAACTGCCAATGCTGGAGTCAGAGATAACACAGTGTGGAGCTGGAGGAACACAGTAGGCCAGGCAGCATCAGAGGAGCAGGAAAGCCAACGTTTTGGGCCTAGACCCTTCTACAGAAATGGGGGAGGGGGAAGGGAGCTCTAAAATAAATAGAGGGGGGGGTGGGGCCGACCATTCCCCACCACTGCCTACCTGCACTCACCTATCACCATCCCACCTGCCTTCCCGAGCCCCACCCCTCCTCTCTATTTATTTCAGAGCTCCCTTCCCCCTCCCTCATTTCTGAAGAAGGTTCCCGACCTGAAACGTCAGCCTTCCTGCTCCTCTGATGCTGCCTGGCCTGCTGTGTTCATCCAGCTCCACAGTGACTTTCAGAGGACTTTCCACCATAGAAAAATTTAACATGCCCAACCTTCGGGCAGCAATCTTGTCTCCTGTGCTAAATTGCTTTTGCATACTGGAACTTCATGCATTACGGTACTCCGCATTAAAGAAGTGGCCAAGTCAGTGTCTTAAAAGATCTATAACTGACCAAATCTCCATTAAGCAGTTGCTCAATTTTAATAAAATGGCTGAAGATACCAGATGGGAAGGCACCAGTTCGGACCACAATGAAATTCATCAGCATATGAATGATTCATCAGATTCAATTTCAGGATATTCAACCAACATTGTTGATCCTTCAGCTTAACTAGAATTAGCAACTATTACATTTTCAGTCCTATACTTGAACTGGTCCTGGTAGAGTTTGGAACAAGGTTGTAATAAATAAAGGGTAGAGTAGCACCAAGTCATTTTCCTCAAACTAGAGTAAGAAAAAGGTATAAAAGCACTGGAATTGGCATGAAAGGAACTTGATCACAAAGCTCTACTCAAGTCACTGCTTATATATTGCTAGGAACACCTCCAGCCTATTGAGGCTTGACATCTTATGTCTTTAGGAACAGCAGCCCTTAAAGCAAATTTACTGAAACTGAAAACTATCCAGGCAAATGAAGGGAACATTCCTCTCAGCAAATTGTAGTTCTATCACGTCAGGCACTATTATACAGTGCCCTCTGGAGGCATCTTCTTGCACTTTTTCTTAAATTATACCAATCATTTAAGGGTAAGGAGGAATGTTTATATTTGCTACTGACCTAAAATGAATAAATTGCACTGGGTATCATAGGACAACCCAGCATAACAAATCTGGTCTTTAATTGCATAGATCTAAGTCAATATTTTCAAATATAAGAGAAGTAACTTTTACATTTATTAAAACTCAAAGGTTATCGAATGTAAAACTTGCAAATCTGCTGGTTAGTTTAATATTTTTACTGGCTATGCAATTATGTTGATGAAAAGGTGATCCATATTGACTATTAAAGGACATCATGAAATGCATGCAAATAATTGTATGTTTTTCAATTCTGAATATTTGAACGGTAAGGGAGGGAAAGTGGATATCTTAAATATAACTTATATTTTCCTGATAAAAATGGCAGGATAGTCGGATTCTTTCAATCTGATTTGCACTTCTGCTCCTAAGTGAAAAACTCAAAGGAAGTACAATTCAAAATGTTGCCATGGATGCATTTACTTACCTAACATTTCCTGGGAAGGCATGGAGGAAGTGAGGTATTTTTAGGACAGGAGAAAGGGGATGACCAAGTTTGACAAAGTAGCATTTCCACTATTACAGATTATCTGTGGTGCCTTTTTTGTTTGTCACACCACCCAGATGATTGAAAATGTTTATAATACAGATTGCTACAGGTGCAGAGACTATCCAGCTAAGACTGGCTGATGTTCACATCCCAGGTCGAGGCACAAACTTTATACTGAAAGGGGTAAACTTGTGGCACAATGGTCGTGTCTCTGTATTTGGGCCAGTAGATCCAGGTTCAAGGTCCCACCGATCAACAGAGATGCATCATTACATGTCTGAACAAGTAGATTTAAAAAAACCTTTATTTTGAAAGGCTTGGAAAACTGATGTTGATTTCTGCCATTGCCATACTATTACTGTTGGCACCTTGTCTAACTAGTCTTTCAAAGTCTTTAAAACTGTTCAATGGTATCTCATACATTACATGAATATTTGGTAGTTGTATTCATGCGGCATAGATTAATCTGCGACCTTTGAATAGCTAGCTTTTAAATAAATATAAGTCAAATAAATCTCACCTCCTTTTGATCTGTGATACCATCAAGAAAAATCATCAAGAGATGTATTTTTTGGATGAAACAGTAACTCAAACTGGAACAAGTGGGGATACAAAAGTAGTCAGAACTCTCCAGAATAGCGGACTATCATATAACAAGCAAGAATCTAGGCCCGAATGTTCACTCCATAGTCAAGAGCCAGTAAAACATCTAGTTCTGCAAACCCAACTCAGAAGAAAGTGTACCAATCAGTTGGGGGCAGGTGATAATTGGAAATGTGTTTGCCATCCCCAGCAAGAGTTTGGAGGTAGCCAGATTGACTGCCGGTACTGAGATTAGCTGGTTTAAAAGCCTGTCTTGATGTCACGATCCTTCATGGCAAGCTGTTCAAAACAAAAAAGAAGAACAAAAACAACCTTCATCCCTCCCACAGACTCCCCACAGTAGCCCATGGCTACATTCACTACACTTATCTAGTTAGACAGGTTAAGACACAGTCTGATTAGTAGGCTAGCCCAACGTTTGTACACAAGAGTGGCCAACAATACAGACTCCAAGACAAAATGTTGCATGGAAGTTCAAAACTGCAACAAAATGGTGGGTACAACTTTTAAACAGTTTTGTTTCTATTCAAAATTTGATTTTAGCATATATATTTCAGCTATGAGTTAATGCTGCAGTCTTTGAGTAGTCTCATTACCACAAATTTTGTTTCTCTTCAGTTTTATCACACATCAGCCTAAAGCTTACAAAATTGTCAGCTTGTGGGCTTGTCAGAATCTGATGTTAGTGTTTAGCAGTATCCAGATCTCATTCTTTCTGTTGAGATGCAATTTATCAGTCACAAAAGACCTTCACACACAGACAAAACCATTTTTACACAAGTAACATGCCAATTAGATGACATTTGTCAAGCATGAAGTTCTGACTGAAAATGTCATATTGCCATAATGCAAGCTATTCAAGAAGAAACTGTAGGAAGTAACAACATGGGATCCATGCTTCTAAAGTTCTCAATTCTCTTTTATAAGCACCGAAAAAAAGTACTTGTATCTTATCATAATTGTGTGCACAGTTTCACAAAGAAATAACAGATGTTAAAAATAACTTACCAAACAGACTGGTTAATCTTCATACAGCCATAGATCCAAATACTTGGTTCCTGTCAATTCAAAAATCCAGATGCATTTGAGGTTGTGTCAAAGTAAATCAAAATGCAAATTGAGGTGTGAGTTAGTGAACTGGGACACAAACGTACAACCTAGGCCAGTCAAAGAAGTATATTTTGTTTTGTTGTAAAGGAATTTTAACAATGGTTTGTCAAAAATCAAACAGAATGCAAAGGTAAAAAGACCTTGCTGGGATTTATGTAGAGCTTCCCCAGAAGCAGTCAGGATGCGGGGCAGATAATAAATCAGGAGATAGAAAAGATATGTAAGAAAGGCACTGTTACAATAGCAATGGAGAACTTCAATATGCAGGTGGACTGAGAAAATCAGACTGGTAGCAGATCCCAAGAAAAGGAATTTGTGGAATGTTTACAAGATGGACTTTTGGAGCCATTTATGGTGGACCTCACTAGGGAACAGACAATTCTGGACGTGCAATGAGGCAGACTTTACGAGGGATCTTAAGGGGAAGGAACCCTAGGGGGCAGTGACCACAATATGATAGAATTCACCCTGCAGTTTGAGAATCAGATGTAACAGTGTTAAAATTTAGTAAAAATAACTACAATGACATGACGGAGGAGATATCCAGACTTGATTGGAAGGGCAGCCTAACAAGGAAGAAAGTGGAGCAGTAATGGCAAGAGTTTATGGGGGTAATTTGGGAGGCACAGCAGAAATTCATCCTTAGGAAGAAGAAACATGCTGAGGAGGGCAAAGCAACCACAGTTGACAAGGGAAGTCAGGGACAGCATACATAGAGAAGATTACAGGGAAATCAGAGGACTGGGAAGCCTTTAAAAATCAGCAGAGGACAACTAAAAAAACAATAAAGGAGGGGAGAAGATGAAATATGAGGTAAATTAGCTAGTAATATAAAAGGAAGTTTTTTTAAGATATCTAAAAAGTAAGAAAGAGGCAAGAGCGGACATTGGACCACTGGAAAATGAGGCTTGTAGTAACAGAGAACAAAGAAATCACAGAGGAACTGAACAGTGATACTTTGCATCAGTATCACAGTGGAAGACACCAGCAGAATGCCAGAACTTCAACGGAGTCAGGGTGAGTATGGTGGTCACCATTAAGGAGAAGGTGCTGGGGAAGCTGAAAAGTCTGAAGGTGGATAAATCACCTGGATCAGATGGACTACACCCCAGGGATCTGAAGGAGACGGATGAAGAGATTGTGGAGGCAATGGAGATGGTCTTTCAGGAATCACTGGAGTCAGGGAGGGTCACAGAGGAGTGGAAAATGGCTAATATAACATCCCTGTTTCAGAAGAGAGGGAGGTAGAAGACAGGAAATTATAGGCCAGTTAGTCTGACCCCAGTTGTTGGTAAGATTTTAAGAGTTCGTTATGAGGGATGAGATTGCTGAGTACTTGGAAGAGCATGGCAAAAGACGACGGAGTTAGCACAGCTTTGTCAAAGGGACAGTATGCCAGATAAATCTATTAGAATACTTTGAGGAAGTAACAAGCAAGTTAGACAAAGGAGAGCCAAGGGATGTGAACTATTTGGATTTCCAAAAGGCCTTCAACAAGGTGCCACACAGGAGACTGCTAAATAAAATAACAGCCCATGGTAGGGGCAAGGTACTGTCATGGATAGAGGTTTGGCTGACTGGCATAGAGTGGGGATCAGAGGATCTTTTTCTGCAGGGGTCAGTGTTATGAACACAACTATTCACATTACACATTTAACAACATGAATGAAGGAATTGAGGGCATTATTACTAAGTTGACAGATGAAACGAACAGAGGTGGAGGGACAGGTAATGTTACGGAAGTGGTGAGGCTGCAAAAGGACTTGGACAGGCTAAGAGAGTGGGGCAAAAAAGTGACAGATTGTAAAGTGTGAGGTTAAGTACTTTGGTAGGAAGGATAGAGGTGCAGACTATTTCTAAATGAGAAATGACTTTGGAAATCTGAAGCACAAAAAGTCAAGTTCAGGATTCTCTTCAAGTCAATATGCAGGGTCAGCTGGCAGTTAGGAAGACAAATACAATATTTGCATTCATTCATTCATAGGGGTACTAGACTACAACAGCAGGGATGTACTGCTGAGGCTATATAATGCTGTAGTCAGACTGCATTTGGAATATTGTGAGCAGTTTTAGGCTCCATATCTAAGGAAGGACATGTTGACATTGGAGGGGATACAGAAAAGGTATACAAGAATGAATCTGGGGCTAAAGGTCTTGTCATATGAGAAGCTGAGGTCTCTGGGTCTGCACTCAATGCAATTTAGAAAGATGAGAGTGGATCTCTATGAAACTTACAGAATATTAAAAGGCCTCAATAGAATGGACATGGAGATGTTTCCACGAGTAGGACAGACGAGAGCCCAAAGGCATAGCCTCAGAGTGAAGAGATGGCCATTTGGAACTGAGATGAAGAGGAATTTCTCAGTCAGAGGGTGGTGAAACGATGGAAATCATTGCGGCAGAAGGCTGTGGAGGCCAGCCACTGGATGTCTTTAAGGCAGAGATAGATAGGTGATCAAGGGTTAGGGACAGAAGGCAGGAAAATGGGATTAAGAAACATATCAGCCATGATCAAATGGTGGAGTGGACTCAGTAGGCTGAATGTCCTAATTCTGTTCCTGTATCTTATGGTCCTATGGAAATTGTTTCTCAATGGTTGAGATGCTTCCAATTTGTGATGCATAGGACACCCATTGTTCTTTCCAACAATATATCTAAAAATATTATTGTGATTTACTATATATGGTAATAAATGCTTAAGTAAAAGTTATTAATTACTACTGCAATATTTTGATTGAAAAGGCATATTTCCTTACCAAGTTAGTAGTTCGACAATATAAATTACTGTAGGGTTCCCCCTCACTTGGAAGCGGTAAAATAAAATATGTTGCCTTGGGTTCCCATGCTGAAAACTGAAACATATTTTTGGCAAATATGTAATTTCAAAATCGAAAGTTCATTCAGAATATATCAAGAAATTTTATATTAGCAGCAGCTTAAAAGTTTTATAAAGACAGTACCTCTGGACTGTTATAAGTCCAATTGTAAGTGTTAATTACACTCCACGTTGCAGATGAATCTAAAATAAACATAAGTGTTAAACATATTTTACATATTTAGGTAAATCATTAATTTTAAACAATGTATCACTTCAAACCTGAGAATGAGACCGAAGACTCAACATTATCCTCAGAGTGCTTTTCTGAATAGATGACAAAATGATGATGAAGAACAGATATCCTCTTCTCTAGATCTGATGTTATCTTAAAAACAAACCATCAATAAGTCCCAACTAAGGTTTTGAAAAATATAAATCATGACTTTGTTAATAATTTTATGACTGAACTACAATGATGCAGTATAATCTTATAATGTCAGTTTCATAGGCATGAAGAGTAGCGTAATTAAAATTCATTAGTTACTGAAGTAACAAAATCCTGGTAAATCCATAGCTGACATTATTCTCAACATGTCAGATCGATTGTAAGACCTTATTTTGTTGTGCAAATATTCCATCTAGGCTACACAAGAATCACGGCTCACACTCTCAAGACCCTACTACTATTTTTATATGACAGCTACGTCTAATTTGCAGAATGATTCAATGGCTTCCTGAGATGCAGAATAGAGAAATGAGGTGCCTGACCTTAGTGGGCAGATTGATGTAATCTGATCTATGATCTGGGACACATGACCAAAATTGCACCTAGGTTTGCTGCTCATCTTCATATTATTTTCATAGAATATTTTCATAGAATCACTACAGTGTCGAAACAGGCCCTTCAGCCCAACAAGTCCACACCGACCCTCAAAGGATCCCACCCAGACCCATACCCCTACAACCCACCTAAATCTACATATCCCTGAACACTATGGGCAACTTAGCATGGCCAATCCACCTTGCCTGCACACCTTTGGACTGTGGGAGGAAACTGGAGCACCCGGAGGAAACCCACGCAGACATGGGAAGAATGTGCAAACTCCACACAGACAGTCGCCTGAGGGTGGAATTGAACCCGGGTCCCTGGCGCTGTGAGGCAGCAGTGTTAACCACTGAGCCACAGTGCTGCAGTGGCTGCATTATCTATATCTTATGTGGATTTGGTTGATCTCTGCCCACTTGTCTTCGAAAGATCTCTGTTGATCTATAATGAGATGTTGGCTCTTTAACTACATGTGTCGCATGGATCCAGGTATTTGGATAGGTGGTTGATATCAGCTGAATGAATATCAATTGTAGCTTATATCAATATCAATTCAACAGCCTAGTTCTATTAACACCAGCCAAGGTGAACCTCATCCAGGCAATCACTGGAGGCAAGTCATAGGAGACACAGCCACGACATTTCGCAAAAGTGGCCGTAGGCTACTATAGACCCTACACACAGCCCTGGCAAAGTTTACGGTTTACCTGCAGAAGAAGCTGAATTATTTTTGAGCTGGCAAGAAGAGAAAGAAATTATCTTTTGAAGAAACATGTTGAGCTAATTCTGACATCATTCCCATCAGGGTAATTACATTTCTTAAAAAAAACTTTTAACCACCTGAATTTCCATGAATAATACCATCACAATTCCAACCTAGTAAAACCAATGAATTCTTTACAAACACTTTGATACTATAAACTAACCATTCCTATCCTATTGAATGGTATTAGATATCAGGAAACAATGACAAAGATACAGTGAACTGAATTTTTCTTCCCACTCCCACTGTCAGGATGATATGTGTGAATAGAAATAGAAAGATAGGCCAGATGAATGCATAGCTGAGGAGCTGGTGTAGGGGGCAGGGTTTTCAGTTCTTGGATCATTGGAATCTCTTCTGGGGTAGAGATGACTTGTACAAGAGGGACGGGTTGCACTTGAACCAGACGGGGTCCAATATCCTCACGGGGAGATTTGCAAGCGTTACCCAGGAGGGTTTAAACTAGTTTGGCGGCAGGGTGGGCCTCTGAATAAGAGAGGGGCCATTAAGAAGTCAGGGGAAAATACATTAGCCATTGAGAGCAAGTTTACTATTTAGGATAGCTGGGGGCACAGTAAAGGGAGGGAAAAGACTTCAGGTTTAAAGTACATTTATTTCAATGCATGAGGTCTGACTGGTAAGGCAGATGAATCAGAGCATGGATTGGCTTTGGGGACTGGGATATTATAGACATAACAGAAACATGGCTGAGAGAAGGGCAGGACTGGCAGCTCAATGTTCCAGGATACAGAAGCCACCGGTGTGACAGAAGTACAAGTAAGCAAGGAGGGGGAGTTGTCCTTTTGATAAGGGAGGACATAACAACAGTGTTTAGAGAGGATATTCTTAAGGGGTCATCAAATGAGGCCACATGGTTAGAACTTATAAACAAGGTTGGGACTGTATTAAAGACCTCCAAATAGCCAGCGGGATGGAGCAGATGTGTAGAGAGATTGCAGATACCTGAAGGAATAATACAGTAGTATTGGTTGGAGATTTTAGTTTCCCCTGTATTGACTGGGCCACCCAGAGTGTAAAAGACCCGGATGGTGTGGAATTTGTCAAATGTGTCCAAGAAAGTTTCCTAAATCAATACATAGAGGGTCCTACACGGGAGGCTGCAACTCTGGACCTCCTCTTAGGAAAAGAGGTCCGGAAAGTGACTGAAGTGTCAGTTGGAGAACACTTTGGGTCCAGTCACCATTACTCTCTTAGTTTTAATATAGTTAAGAAGTGCGATATCAAGAGTCCAGGGACAGAACGTCCCTGTTAGGATGAAGGGAAAAGCTGGCAAGTTTAGGGATTCCTGGCTAACGAGGGCTATTGAGGCTCTGGTCAGGAAAAGAAGGCAGCATACATTGGGTTTAAGCTATCGGGCTCAAGTGACTCTCTGGATGACTATAAAAAGTGTAGGAGCACAGTCAAGAGCAAAAAGAGAGTATGAAATGGATCTGGCAGATAAGGTTAAAGATAATCCCAAGAGGTTTTACAGCTATATTAAGAGTAAGAGGGTGGCTAGGGAGAGAATAGGTCCCCTTAAAGATCAGCATGGCCATCTTTGTGTGGAGCCACAGGAGATGGGGGAGATTTTTAATGAATATTTTTCCTCAGTGTTTACTGAGGAGAGAATCATGGTTGCTATGGAAATAAGGGAAACAAGTTGGGGATGTTTTGGACCGCATACACATTACCAGAGAGGTGGTGTTTGCAGCCTTAAAGCGCATTAAGGTGGCAAAATCCCCTGGGCCTGATCAAGTCCATCCTTGGACGTTGTGGGAGGCTAGGGAAGATTTTTACTTCATCTTTAGCCACTGGTGAAGTTCCAGAAGACAGCAAAGACAAGCCAGGGAACTACAGGCCAGTGAGCCTGACATCTGTGGTAGGCAAGTTATTGGAGAGGATACTGAGGGATCGGATCAACCAACATTTGGGTAGACAAGGTCTGATTAGGGATAGTCAGCATGGATTTGTGCGCCAGAAGTCATGTCTGACAAATCTTTTAGAGTTTTTCAAACAGGTAATCAAGAGGATGGATGAAGGTAGGGCACTGGATGTTGTCTGTATAGACTTTAGTAAGACCTTTGACAAGGTCCCATACGCAGGCTAGTCATGAAAATTAGGTCACATGGGATCCAGGGAGAGCTAGCTAATTGGATTCAAAATCGGCTCAATGGTAGGAAGCAGAGGGTGATGGGTTTTTTAATTCATTCACAGAATGAGGGCATTGCTGGCTAGACATCATTTATTACCCATCCCTAATTGCTCAGAGGGCAGTTAAGAGTCAACTGCATCACTGTGGGTCTGGAGTCACATGCAGGCTAGACCAGGTAAGGAAGGCAGTTTCCTTCCCTAAAGGACATTAGTGAACCAGATGGGTTTTTCCTCAACAATTGATAATGGATTCACGGTCATCATTAGATTCTCAATTACAGATACTCATTGAATTCAAACTCCACCATCTGCCGTGGCAGGATTTGAAACTGGGTCCCCTGAACATTAACTGGGTCTCTGGGTTAACAGTCCAACGGTAATACCGCTAGGCCATCGTCTCCCCAGTGGTTGATGGTTGTTGTTCGAATTGGAGGCCTGTGACTAGTGGTGTGCCACAGGGGATCAGTGCTCAGTGCTGGGACTTTTGTTATTTGTTCTTTACATAAATGATTTGGATGTGAATGTACACGGCATGTAAGTTTGCGGATGATACAAAATTAGGAGGTATCGTTGATAGCAAAGAAGGTTATCAAAAATTACAGACGCATCTTGATCAGATGGGGACGTGGACTGAGGATTGGCAAATGCAATTTAATGCAGATAAGTGTGAGGCGTTGCATTTTGGAAAGTCAAACCAAGGCAGGACATATACAGTAAATGGTAAGGTCCTGAGGAGTGCTGTGGAAGTGAGGGACCTAGGAGTACAAGTACATGGTTCATTGAAAGTGGTGTCACAGGTGGACAGGGTGATGAAGAAGGCATTTAGCATGCTGGCCTTCATCGGTCGAGGCACTGAGTATAGGAGTTGGAATGTTATGTTATATTTGTATAAGTCGTTGGTGAGGCTGCACTAGGAGTATTGTGCGTGATTTTGGTCACCCTGTTATAGGAAAAGCATTGTTATACTGGAAAGTATACAAAGAAGATTTACGAGGACGTTGTCAGGACTAGGAAGCCTGAGTTATAGAGAGAGGCTGGCCAGGATAGGACTTAATTCCTTGGAATGTAGGAGAAGGAGGGGTGATCTTATTGAGGTGTATAAAATCATGAGGGGCATAGATAGGCTGAATGCATTTAGTTTTTTTTTTCCCCCAGAGATGGGGAATTGAAAACTAGAGGGCATAGGTTTAAGGTGAGAGGGGATAGATTTAAGAAGGGCCTGAGGGGCAACTACTTCATGCAGAGAGTGGTGTGTATACGGAATGGGCTGCCAGAGAAAGTGGTTGAGGCAGGTACAATAGCAAAATTTTAAAAAACGTTTGGATAGGTACATGGATGAGAAGGGTTTAGAGGGATATGGACCAAATGCAGGCAATTGAAACCAGCTGAGAGGACACCGTGGTCAGCATGGACCAGTTTGGGCCGAAGTGCCTGTTTCCATGCTGTATTATTCCACAACACAATATGCAGATTGGGGAAGCCATACATGCTGGCCCAGAGGCCGATTTTTAAGGAAGTGGCTAATTAAGTGGCTGCTTCCAAGAACCCAGTTTAATGGGTGAACAGCAGGCCTCCCAGCATTCAAGGATCCACTGCAGAGATGGGCAGGCTGAAGCATGCAAGGAGATAAGTACCCAGTTGCTGGCTACCAATCAGGAATGTTACAGTTCCAGCAAGGTGAGGCCCTATGGGAATCAAGAGGACGCTCCCATCAAAATAATTGGCACTGTTGCAGGTGTGGCTAAAAGATCCAAATAGCTTGGAATCTCTGGCTTCGATTGCTGTGTGCTCTGTAGCTTAGAGGTCATCAGAGTTTCACAGACAGCATCCTAAACACCCTGGTCAATTTCATTACTTAGGTTTTTCAGACATTTCATTGGTTACTCACTGCACTCTGACAGATAATCATTCTTGTCATTTATATTTCTCCTTCAGGGTCCCACGGAGGTGGGAATGAGCCATGGAGGCAGCTGGACAGGATTCCCTATTGTTTTCGGATCACCTTACCTCCAGACATGCCACCACATGCAACTGAAACTTCAGTCCTCTCTTTTTCAAGTCTACCACTGAACAGCAAAACTACATAATTACAAAACATACTATTTTCTCTGCTGCAAAAGCTCATATCAACGTTACACTTTTTTTTCCACTTCCAGTAAATTATTTGGAACTTTATTCCACAGTTCTAAGTTGCCCTACGGAGACAATGTCTTTTTGATGCAAAATCAAACCAAGGACTTGACTACCATTCTAAATTAAAGCTTTGCCATTATGTTATAATCCTTTGAATAATATTTAACAATCATTTGACAGTATTCAAAAGGAAGGAAATTCTATTAGTTCTACTCTCTCAAATAACATGATCAAAAACTGGTTACAACCCAAATGTTGACTCAGAGTTTCATGGCTGCTTTACCCATAATGAAAATTATCTTGAGGAAGGTCTGTGATGGAGGCCAGGAACTTACCCACGAAAAATGGCAAAACACAAAAGAAGCAGAAAAGGAAATGGATAGTTTCGTTCAGTAAGGATAGGCACTGCTTTTAAACAAAATACATAGTAACAAATGTCTTGAAAATGCCTTAACAATTTTTCACAATAAATGGAGAACTAAGGAACAAGCTTTAAATGGCTCTATTTATACCATAAGGGTAATTATCTAGAGCTATGAAATTTATCAATAAAATTCATGTAACAATTATTAATTATGGAAAATAAATTACATAAAATTAAGTCTACCTGATTGGTCTGATCATCAACAAGATCAAAAAAAGCTCTAACAGTGGCCAGGACCAGTTCTTTACACCTGAGAAAACAAAGAAAATGCAGTAAAATCATGTATTGTGCTATACTTAGAACTCTAATCAGATTACAACTCATATCTCAAGAATACATCTTGCAAAGCAAAAGGCTTACAGTCCACAATACATTTATAGACAAAAGGCGAACAATTTAAAATAAGATTAAATACTTAAAATGGATTCACTTATTGATATACAGATCTTTCTATCACTTATTTCACCTTACGAAAAGAAAGAAAATATATTTTTAAAATTTGATAGATTAAACCAAGCAATGTAACAACATGAAAATTAGTTGTCAATTTTGATTAGCTCCTAAGGAATTCTGACATTGTGTACTCTTGTTATTTCTCCCATAGCATGGAGCAATACAGGAGTCAATTCAATTCAAATCAATCCTCTGCATTATCAGCTTTTATTTCAATACCAGCAGCTTGATAATTTTAGTTGGATAAGCAATTTGCCAAGCAGGTTGTTCTTCTGTTGATAATCTGATCAAGTTGATAACAATGGCCAGACCTTGACACCTTACGGCAAACTTTTCTCTGCAGCGCTGGTGAAGCAAAGCTCATTCAAAAAGAATTTGTACGTTGTCATTAATCTAGAACACTACACGATGATCAAGGCATCAAATTCTGCTCAACCATTCTACCGAAATCACCCAGGATAAGTAACTTATAACCATTTACAATGTGCCTCAGAATATTATGTAGAAAGTGCTGGAATTGACCTTTGAGATGCTGATTCAAGGGTCAATAAAATATCAATGTTGATATTGAAGAAACTTGGAAGTCATGAGTTCAATGATTTCTGACTGTGGTAGCAAGATTTGATAAAAGTGCAAATCAAACAAGGGCTAATTTGAGACTTATTGAGCAGTGATGATATTCTTCAATGAAGCAAAAAGCAAAGACTGCCAGATACACAACAAAAACAAAGCACAGAGTCATTGAGTTATACAGCACAGAAATAGATCCTTCGGTCTAACTCATCCATGACGACCGGATATCCTAAACTGAACTAGTCCCATTTGCCAGCATTTGGCCCATATTGCTTTAAACCCATCCTATTCATGTACCCATCCAGATGCCTTTAAAATAATGTAATTGTACACACCTCCACCACTTCCTCTGGCAGCTCGTTCCATACATGCATCACCTTTTGCATGAAAAAGTTGCCCCTCAGGTCCCCTCCCACCCTAAACCCATGCCCTGTAGTTTTGGACTCCCCTACCTGGGGAAAAAGACCTTGGCTCTTCACCCTATTGATGCCGCTCATGATTCTATAAACTTCTATAAGGTCACCCCTCAGCCTCCAATGCTCCAGGAAAAAAGCCCCAGCCTATTCAGCCTCTCCCTCCAATCCCAGAAACATCCTTGTAAATCTTTTCTGAACCCTTTCAAGTTTAACAACATCTTTCCTATAGCAGAGAGAACAAAATGGACGCAGTATTCTAAAAGTGGCCTCACCAATGTCCTATACGGCTGCAACGTGACATCCCAACTCCTATACTCAATATTCTGACCAATTAAGGTAAGCGTGCCAAACACCTTCTTCTTCAGCTAGAAACTGCATCACTTGAAATTATCCAGGATGGCTGTGCAAAAGACATGGGGATATTGGGCAAATAACCACTGGATCAACTTATGTCAAGAAATCCAAACTGCCTGTAACAATGGAAACCTACAAATTATGTATGATAGGAGCAAGAGGGCACCCACCATCACTAATGTCGCCCATCAATCAACAGAGCTAGAAGTAAACAGATGCCTTACTGATTTCAGTACTGCTGTAAGCTCAAAATGATCACCGATTACTTAGCAAGCAGAAATACACACAGAATGGCTGGATTTCCACCTGATCTGCTCAAGCACAAAAAGTTCTACCTGATGCCATACCTTTATGATCTCCTCCTTCTATTCTGAAGGGTCAGCTTGGTTCCACATGACGTGTGTGATGCAATAATTGTTACATGAGACAAAATAAAGGTGGCAGAGGAGATGGAGACCACTACAGGGACACTTCACTTTTATTACCATGAGGAAGGCCTTCACCAGGGCCATGCTTAAAAGGCTCCTTGCTCCTAACCTCTGCCTACTCTGCAGATATGGAAGGAGTTTACTTGCATACTAAGGTCAGACAACAAGCTCCATAATTTGTCCAGACTAAAAGTGAAGACAAAGGTACAGCACACCTCAATCAAGAGACTCCCGTACACTGTTGATGCTGTTGAGGTTGGTTGGCTCGCCGAGCTGGTTTGTTGTTCCGCAGACATTTCGTTACCGTGCTTTGTAACATCCTCAGTGCAGCCTCTGATGAAACGTCGGTGTGTTTTCCCGCCTGGTTTTTAAACTCTGGGGTCCGTTGTGATGGTTTGCCTCACTTCCGGGTTTTCTCCGTAGTAGAATGTATATGGGGTCGAGTTCAATGTGTTTATTAATAGCCTGCTTCGTGGAGTGCCATGCTTCCAGGAATTCTCGTGCTTGTCTCTGCCTAGCCTGTCCCAGGATCTTGGTGTTGTCCCAGTCGAAATCGTGGTTCTCCTTGTCCACGTGGATTGAGATGAGTGAGTATTGGTTGTGTCTTTTTGTAGCCAGTTGGTGTTCATGTACTCTTGTTGTTAGTTTCCTTCCTGTTTGTCCGATGTAGCGTTTCTCGCAGTCTGTGTGAAACCCACATCAACCCTACGACAAGTGCTCACCCGATCTAAAGACCCACTCCCCGCCATGGACAGGACCAGTGTCATCTACAAGATCCCCTGCAGAGACTGCGAGAAACACTACATCGGACAAACAGGAAGGAAATTAACAACAAGAGTACATGAACACCAACTGGCTACAAAAAGACACGACCAATACTCACTCATCTCAATCCACGTGGACAAGGAGAATCACGATTTCGACTGGGACAACACCAAGATCCTGGGACAGGCTAGGCAGAGACAAGCACGAGAATTCCTGGAAGCATGGCACTCCACGAAGCAGGCTATTAATAAACACATTGAACTCGACCCCATATACATTCTACCACGGAGGAAACCCGGAAGTGAGGCAAACCATCGTAACGGACCCCAGAGTTTAAAAACCAGGTGGGAAAACACACCGACGCTTCATCAGAGGCTGCACTGAGGATGTTACCAAGCACGGTAACGAAATGTCTGTGGAACAACAAACCAGCTCGGCGAGCCAACCAACCTCAACATCCATAACCCAAGCTACAGATCTACTCCAAAATTGTTGATGCTATGCTAACTACTCACATGGAAATTCAGCTACGAAGATTCATGGATTGTCTATCCAGTGCCTCTAACTTGCTTTCCCTGACTACTTGCAAGTACAAGAAATCCTTAGTTGTTGCACAGGGGGCATCTTATCTCTGTCCATGGGCACAATGAATAACCTTGCTGAAAGTGGTTAACAATCCTGCAACATTGTATTCATGGTGATAGACAAAATTCCTCCAAGTACGGAACATGGGAATGCATAAGGAAAGCAGTCACCACCTTGGGCTGATTCACAACATGCATGGAAAAACATCAGGCTGATTCTTAGGCCAAGATGTTGTTTTGTGAAGTCTGTCTTTTTATATATGGTTATGATAAATTCATCATTTGCAGCTATCAAGAAAGCAAAACCACCAAATTTCAACTTAGCTGTTTGTGGCCCATTATAGAAATCTCATGGAAGAACATACTCATGAGTAATGCAATCTCCTCAGAGGTATATCTCCCAATTTGCTGGCATTCATCAAGCAAAAGTGTTTTTGCTAGCTCAATCACCTTTGCAGGACAAAAGCTGGTTACAGCCTGAAGGATTTTTTGCATGGCGAGGTAGCTCGACCCAAAGACATGTTGAAGACCCAAACGTCCATTTCAAAGATGTTTATTCGTTCCAAGGATAATAATAGATAGATGCTTGATGACCATCTTGAACACAATAGACCAAAGGGCCTTTTCCTACACTGGAAAACCTCTGACTCTGTATGATTTATAGGACTTAAACATTGATTTTTGGCCTTGCCGACAATGGTGGATAACAGTAACATCACCTATGAGCCAGAATGCGACACCATGATCATCAGTGGCTACAGTGACTTAGCAACAGGTACTAACAGCAAAAAAAAAACGTCTGAAAAGCAGCTGACAAACACTTCATATGTGCTATTTGAAGCAGAAACTGCCTTTCACAGACAGTGGCGTTAATCATCAACAAAAGCGTCCTATATGAAGCTAATCTATTCCCAATGGATTTGCTGCATGTCCACCTTCTTATATAGATAGAAGGGTGTTGCTCGCAATCATATTATAACCAGTAATACTGGCTGGAGTGATATATTTGAATTGTCTGTCATCTTTCTTTCTATATATTTATTAATAAAGACTTTGCCTATAGGTGGTCTTTTTTTTAAATACTTACCAAACTATGCAAAGGTGATCAGTTGACAGCCATGCTCTTGGGACTGCTGATGTCTACAAAGTAAAAACCACTGGCAAATTTATTCTGTGCATGTTTGAAGACTTTAACAAAAGCACATCAAATCCAGCAGCATTACACACAATTGCCCTAACAAGTAATACCAAATGTTCATTTGGAACATTTTCCTGATGGCAAAGCTAAGCTCAAGAAATTATCTTGTCAGAACAAACAATGCAACATCGTACTACACTATGGCATTTTAGTAATAGTGAGCATCAGAGTCAAGCTAATATATCAAGGTCCAGCTTAGTTATTCTCAAATAACAGCAGCAGTAAGTCTTTACTCTAAAACAACTTATTGGCAGTCAGAAATCAATATGATTCAAGAATGCATTACTTTACTTTTTGCAGACAAAATAAATTTGAAGAGTCTCCCTTCAATCTTCCATTACAATCAATATACTTTTGGAAGGATGCGGAAGTAATGGTGACTGTGCATTTGCTTGGATCATACAGCCCTACCCAGAACAGCTTCGAATTTTTTTCAGATTCTTAGTATCCTTTCTTAAAAGTACTGTGTGAAGCTGAAAGACTATTCTAGCTTCCAATGGAACAAACTACTTTTTGTATTTTCAGTCCAGACACCTTCAGACTACAAAAAAGTGCCATTGCTAGCAGACTGAGCGCTCTCCATGAGTAAAAAACAATCCTAACATGTAGGAAGGAACAGATCTCAGATGCTTCAAAGAAATTTGTGTATCTCACGTAGTTAAGATAATGGAACTTATGATTTGTGTCAAAACCCCAAGCACGCCATTTAGAATGTGCAAGCCTTCACATTCTTTCTCAAGTTTCCAGATGTTAAAATGAAATTACCTCCTGTCAGACAACAGTACCTTCAGTTGATCACAGCTAAAATAGTTAATTGTATTATCATAACAAGATACAGTACAGAAACTGTTAGCTCTTCAACAACAGTCACAGACACTAATCCCATTTTCCCATTTCCTTTCTCTATATTCGCTTACATTCTACTCCAATTCTTTTTTTAATGATGCCCTAATTTCTGCTTGTATATATATTTAGGGCAGAGGGAGATAGCAGCATAGTAATTCAAAATCCAAGGCTCACGTTCTGGAAACACGGGTTCAAATCCCACAATAACAAATGGTAAAATTTCAATTCAGTAAAAATCTGGTATAAAAAGCAAGTCTAATGGTATCAATGTAACCATTGTTGACTGTCGTAAAAACCCATGCAGTTCACTAATGTCACTTGAGGAAGGAAACCTGCTATCCTTACTTGGTACGGCCTATATGTGACTCCAGACTAACAGCAATGTGGTTGATTCTGGAATGTCCTCTGGGCAATTAAGGAATAGGCAATGAATGATGGTCTAGCCAGCAATACCCACTTTGCATGGATGAATAATCTTTTTAAAAATCCTATCACACTCTTATGAATAAATTTCTTTGTATTTTACCTCATCAATAACAAACCAGGAATTCTTTTTGTTTCTGTTCTTTGACAGGGAAGTTGCAAGTCTCAAAATTACATCACAACTAATTTCAAGAACATAGAAAAAGAATTTAATAATTGTTATATACATAAAGTAAAAATTTGATCAATAGAAACAAAATTCAGTAAATGCACTGGATTTGTAAAATGAAAGCCATTAAGATCAACTCTTCCAACCGGCCAGTCTATGATAAATCAGTGAAATTCAGTTGGGGACTATGCCAAAGTAACATGGAAAATCTACAAGAATAGATGTCATAAGGAGAACTTCTAACATGGAAAGTTTATAAATACTTGTTAAGTCAAGCACAGAACACAATGCTAGAAATATGCAGAATTTGCCAATAACTTATTTTCAATGGGTTGGAAAAGGACAATTGATGACTAGACCTAATACTGAACTCTACAGTATACTATATTTTCCACAAGACAACATTATTTGAGGACAATGAAAGGAGAAACAGCAACATAAATTCACTCATCCTCAGATTCTTCAGTTATCTCCAAAGTATTATTAACTAACTATTCAAATATTTTATGCAGGTGTAAATCTCTTCTGTTTCCCTGACAAAGACTGCTATTGCTCACAATTATTAGAAAAATATGCTCAGAAAAGCCCAAAGATGTAGAAATCTACATCCGCAGTTCTTTCGGTTTTTATGTAGAAATCTAAGTTTATTGTTATATTGTTAGATTAATTTCACATTTATGCAAATATTGTGCTTGAAGTAATAGACACATACATAAACGTGGATTCATTTCATGTTTGCAGCAAGGCAACATCTAACTTTAAGAAAAAGCACACTTAAATGAGTGCAGAACTGAAATCCAAAGTAACAGTAAGAATACTGACTGGTACTCAAGATTTGCTTTTTCCCTATAAGTCAATGTAGCATTGTTAATGTAAACTAGATTGTTGTAAGAGGATTGCTCAGACAAAGAGTGTCAATATGAACACATTACTGTTACCAACAGCAACCAACATAGAATTTTAAATAAAAACCATGTACATTACCACAACATTTAGAGTATTATTGTAAAGGCCCAGACTTGGCACAACGGTTAGACCAGAGCGGACTTGGTAATCACGGAAACCACCGCCCATTGAGAGAATAGTGATATTTCTTAAGTCTTTTTCCTTGAGAATCCAGTAATTGTTCACAGTAGTGTAAAAGTCTACAAGAATAAATAGTTTAGTTAATTAAATGTCTATTTAAAACACTTGATACTACATTTTTCCTTAACAAGGTTACATGATACCATACCTTAGGCTTTTATAGGAACAGTACTACCTTTGAAAAAAGCAGCATGTTAGATAGTCAGTGAAATGTGACATCCAAGGCTCAACATTGGTTCTACATTTAATGCATAATAAAACACAAAACAGACATTGAAACAACATTAGACACACAAAATAGCAAATTCTACAAATCAGCAAAACAAACTTCCCTCCACCAAACAACTAGAGATCAGCCAGTTTAACCTTCGTGACAGGGAAGCTTTCAGAGGTGATAATTTCAGACAAATGCAGGGTAAGTAAGGAAAGCCAGCTTGTATTTGTTTAAAAAAAAATACTTAACTAACCTGATTAGATTTCTGGATCAGATAAATGGAGTTGATAGGGTGTGCATGGACATCTAAAAAGGATTTGATTAAAAAAAAACTACTCAGCAGACTTGTAGGCAAAGCTAGAGCTCATGAAAAGGTCATTACGGATCTCTTCTTTGGCTCGAAGGGCCAAGTGGCCTATGCCTGCTCCTAATTTGGATATAATCTCCTCTTAAAGAAAACTGAGATGAAGACCTTTTGTCCTCTTAGGAAATTATTCTGGCTTTTAAGTGTAATCTTAATAACTTTGTTTGAATATTCAATTTCTTAAGGTTTACTGAAAAAAATGTGTGTAAATTTAAAGTAAAATTGTCATGTTACATCCATCTTTGATTGACCCTATAGTTGATGCTCCTTTTAAGGAGATAGTTTGGAATATTATAATAGATTAGTCACTCTATATATAAGTGAATTGACTATCTTTAATTTGCCATATACTCTGCAATATGGTGCTTAATATTATAATCCAAAATTGTTTCCGGTAAGAATTCATACGCATACATCAAAAGGTCACTGCCTCATACTTAATTCCACAAACAGATAACTACATCCTAGAAATCTTAATTTAGGATTCTATGTGCTAATATTGGTTAACTTGGACATATTGTTTCTGCTACACAATACCTGTAGATATAGTCTATTCAGATACTTTTGATGTTGTAAACTCTGGGGATGGAGGATTCGATTTCATTAAAGGACCCAATCTGTGGGCAGACTGGGCCTCAGTTTAATGTTTCATTTTACCTGTACACCTCTGCTACTGCCACACTCTCTTGCTACTGCACTGAAGGGTCAGTCTACACAATGAGTCCATTTTCAGGAATGGAGCTTGAACCTTAGACTCAGATGTAAAAGTGTCATGATTGAACTACATTTTGAAGATAATTCACTGAACCAATATGGACCATTCAGCAGACTTGAACTTTTGTCAATACACGCTCTTCCTTGTTACCTGCTGTACATCACATCCTTACTCTGTACTCTATATCCTATTCAGTCAAAATCCACAAGTGTTCCCTTTCTCTAACTTCTTACTCAACATTACAAATTGTTTTCTTTAATCCTGCAGCCACGTAGCATTGCTACTTTCAACAATAACTGGCCTGAATGTATTGTTTTACAGGTTCAAGACCAGAGAATACATAGAATTGGGTTTATAAACAGTCTGAAAGCACATTTGTCTACATATTTTATCTATATTTATCATTCTGTATAAATGTGGGTGCTAGCACTAATTAAACAAATTTGACTGGCATAAGCTATGTAAATGCGTAGAAGACTGTTTTGTTTTTACTAAAAGGAACAGTGGCTCATTTTCCATTGTAGCATTTATCTTCTATTTTTGCGCATTTGTTTTTCTTGATTATCTAGGAGGGAAATCACAACAACAAAACTGCTGAAAATAATGGAATCATTAACATATTTTTCCATATTGTCATTTATTTGCATACAGAATAACAATTCAGGATTATTGAAACTACCATTTCTATCTCACTTTGCTTCTGCTTTTACCACTTCTTTCATTTCACCAATCGAAGTTTACAAAATATTGCTCTGAACACGTAACAAAACAATTTACTGTCATGCAGCCAATGGGGACATTGAAGTAGCACCAAGGACAAATTAGTCAAAGGAATTAACTTGCTGCCTCAAGTTAATATAGGAAATATTCCTCAAAATCTACTTTTGGCTACTAGCCAGCTATTAGTTGAGATATCCAAAGCAGATTCCAGACATACTGCAAGTCTAGCATCTGTAGCATGTTTAATCCACCCCATCTAAACCAGGTAACTGTCAAGTGCCGATACAGCAAGTTAGCACAACTCCAATCATTTGGTATAACTGACTCAAATTCACTATGTCTATTATTGTTTGTACATCATGAATACATAATATAAATAATGTTGTAACCAAACAAAAGTAAATTGTCACTTGGTAGAACGGAACTTGTGTACAGCTGAAAATTGAGTTGCGCTGTCAAAGATTTTCAGCTTGCAGTCATCAAGAAACAACTGCAAGAATACCAAATCTCAAGTATGCTATAAAATCCATTTTGTTTTGGATTCCTACATGCTGTAAAATCTGGCATATGTGGGGATGTTGTATCATTCAAGGCACAAAATATCAAAATAGTTTTTACATTTGATCCTCCCTAGGAACAATGGTGAGGCTTTTTGAAGGACTTTTAAATAGGTTATTCAGGCCAGTTCAAGGGTAAGAGAATAGCAGGCAAGAACCAGCCAGTTTTAATCAGGAACAAGGATAGAGGCTCTCTGCAGCTAAACTGCTGTCATTAACTCTGTGGTGTTAGGGATAACAGAAAGCACGGGTAGAGCCGATAGTTCAAGCAAGTTGAGAGTGGAGGTCAGGAAGCCGAAAAACAATATTGCTTGGTGCAGCTAAGACTGATGCTCTGAGAAATCCAGAGCAGAGCCAATCCAGCTAAACTGAAAAGTCTATCTTCTCTGTGAAACGGAGTTACAGCCCAAGAGACATGTTGTTGCATATGATCAATCAATCACTGAGATGTACAGCCTCCATTCCTGGCATCATATTAGCACCAAAATCAAGTAGCACAGTACTCATTTATATTGTGATAAGCAGGGCTGACTTGCCTGGCTTGAATTTAATTGAAAGTTTAGCAGTTATTAGTTCCCTGGTGCATTCTCCGTGACAATGCCTTGACCAATCAGAGTCAAACTGTCAACCAATCAGCAACAATGGAGTATAAATTGTTATGCCCTTTGACAACTGATATTCTTGCAATTCTGTCCAGATAAGAAAAGATAGAAAGCTTCGACAACATATCTCTTTACTTAGTAAGACAATCAAAGGGAAACCGATTCAATAAATCCTCCATGCCCACATTTGTTGCAGGGGAACCCTGGAATAAACGAAATGAATGTGAAACAGCAAAAACTTTATGAATGACATATGCTGGACATACCTATGAGATAGCTGTCCACTGGTAGGACTGGTGCAACATGAGGTGTAGCTTGGGTAATAATAAGACTTATCAGTGCTGGTTTGAAGTTTGGTAAAGTGAATAGTGCTCTAGCAACAATGCCACCCATTGAATGGCCCACAATAGCAACACTGCAGGGTGCATCTTTTTGATCCTATGGATACAAACAGACCAAAATTAAATTACTAGTAAATATTTTGAGTAAATGTTTTTGAGAAAGCTGGAAATGATGACATTAAATAGATGAAGCACATTCTAGCGTGATGGAAATTGGACATTTCATGGTTTCAACAAGTGGTGAGGCACAAGTTAATATGTGAAATGTATATTTTTGTAAGTCAACTTTCTGGAAAGCTGGGATTGTGATAACAACAGCCATTAAAAGAACCAACCCACATAAAACTTTGAAGTTTGTTTGAACAGTAACATCACCTAAAGATGGTCACCTTACATGTAGAGGAGGAGTTACTGCTCAGAAATTGCCCAATATTGCTGATTGTAACTATCTTACTAGTGGCCTCTTGATTTTTGAAAGTTTAAAACAAGGCTGAAATTGGAGAAATGCAAATGCAATTAATTCCCTGTCAAGCCAACAAGAAAAGAGAAGTACACATATTTTGATCTCTGAAGATTGTTGTTTACACACTCATTTCTGATTACTCACATTCTTTAAATATTCTGCTACATATTTGCATGGGAACTGGTGGATTTCCTCTGATGGTGCTCATGAGGAACGTGTAAGAGTGGTGTAATGAAGGGGAAAGAAGTGGAAAATTAGAAATATAGGTAAAATGTTTCTTGATTGGCACAAGGGAAATCTGGGTCAATAAACAAAGTCTGTTGACATTTGCACAAGAACATTTAAAATGTGGCACTGCACATGCATTATTGTTTTATGTATATTAGCAATCTTTGGTGGCACTGCTCATGATAAACCAGACGACATGCTCTTTGTTAACGTATGAACACAATTTATTATTCTACTGTTATACAGCAATTAGATTTAAACTGGTTTCTGCATTTTAAAGACAGAAATTTTGCATACAAGATAAACACAGACAATCTATTTAGCTGGAAAGTCAGAAACCTTACTGATTAGATTGTGTAGTTTTGGGCTGCAGCTTTTTATAACTGCTTTGCACGTGTAACACTGCAATATACTGAGTTTTTGTTTTAGTAAACAGATTACAACTATTTAAAGTATTGCTCCTGAAGAGACTGAAGTTTGCAACACGGATATCATACTTAGCTGCAAAATTAAGGCAGTCTATTGTGGACATTGCTTGGGCATCCCCCATTGGGACATGATCTAAATAGGCCTTCTGATAATTACAGGTTAATTATTGTTGCGCAAGATTTTCTAGATTAAATCTGCAAAGTTCCTTTCCTTGTTACATATAGATATGAAACATGTCAGGAAATAACTGGCTTCTTTCTGTTTGCGAGTAATTTTTCTAAAATTCTTCCTTTTTGCAAAATTTGTCCGTGGGATGTATGCATCACTGGCTTGGTCATTATTCATTGCCGACCGCTAAGAGAAGGAGAAGATGATGGGCTGCCTTCTTTAACTACTGTAGTCTCTGAGGTACAGGGACACGTAATGTGCTATTAGGAAGGGAGCTCCAGGTGTTTGACACTATGACAGTGAAGGAATGATGATATAGTCCAAAGTTGGGATGATGTCTGATTTACAGAGGAAATTTCAGATGCTAGTTTTTATGCATCTGCTGCTCTTGTCCTTCTATATGGTTAAGGCTGCAGGTTTGGTCACTTAATTCGTTGTATTTATCAATGATGCACACTGGTGTTGGAAGTGAACAATGAAGGTGGCAGATAAGGTTCAAATTAAGTGGGATGCTTTGTTCTGAGTGGTGTCAAACTTCTTGCGTGTTCTTGGAGGTGCATACATCCTGGCAAATGGAGAGCATTCCAGAACTCTCCTAACTTGTGCCTTGCAGATGGTGGACAGATATTGGAGAGACAGGAGGTAAGATAGAATGAGAGAATCCCTATAATGTATAAGTAGGCCACTTGTCCATCAAGTTCATACCGATCCTCTGAAGATCATCCCACCCAGACCCAACCGCCTACCCTGCTCCTGTAGTCCTGCATTTTCCATGGCTAATCCACTTACCTGCACATCCCTGGAAACTATGGGCAATTTAGCTTTGCCAATCCACCTAACCTGCACATCTTTGAACTGTGGAAGGAAACTATCATGCAGAGGAAACCCACACAGACACAAGGAGAATGTGCAAACTCTACACAGACAGTCACCTGAGGATGGAATCAAGCCCGGGTCCCAGGTGCTGAGGCAGCAGTGCTAACCAATGAGCTACTGTGCTGCCCATAAGTACTCAACGCTGAGAATTCCTAGTCTGTGAACTGTTGCTGTAGTCAGAGTATTTGTATGGGTAGACTAGTTTAGTTTCTGGTCAATGGGATATTTACACAACCTCCTCCATTAGATGCTTAATCGTCCATGCAATGGTGCAGCATCTCATAAAACTAAAACGTGTCCTCAATGTGAAGACATTATTTCTTTTCCACAAGGATTAGCAATGATCAATGTAGGGGGTGGGGATGTGGAGGGAGCTCAGGGGAAATCAATACAGTTTCAAAATCAATATCAGGACAGAGAATAAAAAAACAGATAGGAACCCTACTTCAGGTTTGGCAGGGAATGGCAAAATTATAATGTGTTGATTAAACCAGAAGACAGAAATAATAAACAGGTGAATAAAGCATCAATGTTCAAGGACAGGTTACAGTGTGTGGTCCAAATAAGAGCTCTGTACACGAATGCCCGGAGCATAAGGAATTAAATAAATGAGGTGCAAGCAGAAATTCAAATTGGACTGAGACGTGGCTACAGGATGTACCGGGTTGTAGGGTTTATAGGTCAGACAGGGAAAATGGCAGAGGAGGTGCATTAGCCTTACTGGTTAGGAACAAAATTGCTTCAATGGCAAGGGAGGATACAATTAGGGGCAAAGCATTCAGTTGAGACCACATGGGTGGAACTAAGGAGCAGTAAAGGATCTAAATCTCTAATAAGTGTTGTGTACAGATCTCCTAGTAGCAACTCTTAAGTGCTAGATTGTATAAATGCAGAAATTAGGCAAGTGCATACCAAAGCCAGCATAGTATTATTGGGGGATTTTAATTTTAACGTAGATTGGGTGAAACAGACAAGTACATGTCAGAAAGGTAGGGAAGTTCTAGAGTATCTCCAGGAAAGTTTCCTATAGCAATGTGTCCTAGATGCAGCAAGTGGACAAGGAAAATTGGATTTAGTAATGAGTAATTAAGCCGGGTTTAATTCGTAACCTCATTATGTATGATCATTTATGAAATAGTGATCAAAACATGATCGCATTCAATGAAGCATTTGGAAGTGAAAAGCATGAATCATATACTAGAGTTTTAGATTCAGCTAAGGCTCATGTCAACCAGATGAGACAGACACTGTTCACAATAAACTGAGACTTTGTGGAATCTAGAGTCAATGTTAAGCACTTCCAGGGCAACTCCCTCCTGACTATATACCACTGGGCAATTACTTCTGGTGGATTTGTCCTTCTGGTGGAAAAGGATATGTCCCAGGAATGGTGATGGTAACATCCAAATGTAAGGCATGCAATGTGATGTGAAACATTAGGTTTGACTCCTTGATTATGACTATGTCAGGCTGTTTGCTCTCCCAATTTTTGTATGTATCACAAGACCTTTCAGTGGCAACAACACTGTTTAGTCAAACAATCAAAAGTAGACAGCCATGTTTTCTGGAGTGGCTGGTAAGTGGAATAGCCCACAGCCAGCAAAATTATCACATCATCTGAAGCCTAGATATGTGGCACATGCTGTACTTTCAATGTCACATGTATGTACATTATTCTAGCTTGGAGAAATCAACTTCAATTAAGCTAATTAATTACAACCTGAGAGGCCCAGAGTTCACTATTTTGTAGTACACAACTACAACAAACAGATTAGCTGTCACAAGCAAAGCAAAGACCATTGTAGTTTTGGTAAAATTATGATCAAGCAAATGAGTAAAAAGTTGATCTTATGCAATATAAAATTACAAAACTTACTACTTCAATAGAACACTTCTAATGCAAAAGAAACAAAGTTAGTATTAGCAATATCCTACAAATTACATGGGACAACATAAGGAAGATTTGTTGGTGAATCAGTATTAAGAATACAGGAAAATTATTTTAAATGAGCCATCTCAATCAATTGAGAAAACCTGAGGGGTAGAGATTTTAATTTGGATACTAAGCTTAAAATGCACCTGAGATTGTGGTGGTTCTTTTCAGCTCCAGGTTTCTGCTAAAATTAATTTTTGTAATCAGAAACATGAAATCTTTCATGATCAAATGCGAAGTAATAATAGGCAACATAATAAAACACGACTGTTTCTTTCATGCCATTAAAAAGAATGCTCTGATGCATTAAAAAGCAGTAAACTGCTTTAATTTTACTAATCCAGCCAAAGACTGTGTTAATCAGAAAAAAATAAGCTTAGCAAAGTGCCCAGTCCTCCACCCATGAATAACTTGAATTTAAATCTCTGAAAATTACTTCAAAAAAATGACATGAGCTTTCAACAGCTTAACTGGTGTACATATTTTCATAACAAATTGAATATTATTTGGTATGAAAAAAAGTTTTAAGATGTGCCAACTAGAGCCTACGTAACTCAGAAAATGAGTGCAATTCAGGCATGTCATACTTAAGTTTAACATTCCCCAATTATTATGTATTGTTTTGACCAACTGAGGAAATGTCAAGCTTCTTGAGCGTTGTTGGAGTTGCACTCATCCAGGCAAGTGTGGTGTGTTCCTTCATATTCCTGACTTACGGCTTGCATACGGTGGAAAGGCTTTGGGAAGCACCGAGGGGAGTTACTCACTGCAGAATTTCGAGCCTCTGACCTGTTCTTGTAGCTGCAGTATTTATACGGCAAGTCCAGTTCAGTTTTTGGGCAATGATAATCCCCAGGATATTGATAGTAGGTAGGTAGTCAGTGATGCTAATGCCATTGAAGTTCAAGAGGCGATGATCAGATTCTCTCTTTTTGGAGATGGCCATTACTTGGACACTTGTGTGACACATGTTACTTGCCACTTCTGTCTTCAGGCCTGGATATCAATACCTGCTTCAATATCTCAAGCATCATGAATAGTACTGAATACTATACAATCATCAGCAAACATCCCTACATCTGATCCTAATAGAGCAAAGGTCATCGATGAAAGAGTTGAAGATGGTTGGACAGAGGATGCAACAATGAAGAACGCCTGCTGCTGAGATGACTGACATCCTATAGCTACAATCATCTTGCCTTGTGTTAGGTATGACTCCTAGCAGCACAGTGTTTCCATCCAATTTCCACTGACACGAATTTTGCTAGGTTCTTGATGACAGACATGGTTAAATATGGCTTTGATATCAAGGACAGTCACTGTCACCTCTCCTCTAGAGTTCACCTCGTTTGTCTATATTTGAAAAAAGGCTATAATCAGGTCAAGAGCTGAGTGGCCCTGAGTGTCAGTGTGCACATTATTGCTAACCAAGTGCTGCACAACAATATTTTTGATGACCACCATCATCAATTTACTGATGACTGAGAGTAAATTGATGGGGCAGTTATTAGTCAGGATGGATTTGTCCTTTTTTTGTGGACTGAACACATCTGAGCAATTTTCCACTTTGTCGGGTGCCAGATCCCAGTGTTGCAAATGTACAGGAACAACTTGACTAAGGGCTAAGCAAGTTCCGGAGCACAAGTCTTCAGCACTATTATTGAAGAATTGAAAGGGCCCACAGCCTGTGTAGTATCCAGTGCCTTCAGTTTTTAATATCACATGGAGTGAACTGAACTGGCCAATACAAGCATTTGTGATGCTGGGTACCTCTGTAGAAGGCCAAAATGAAGCATCCACTCAGCATTTATGTATGAAAATAGTCGCAAATGCTTCAGCCTCTTTTTTTTGCCCTGTTGTGCTGAACTCCCCCATTGCTGAGTGGGGAATATTTGGGGAGTTATCCTCCTGCAGCAAGTCATTTAACTGTGCACCGCTATTAACACTGGATGTGGCAGGATTGCACAGCTTAGATCTAAACAGTTCATTGTAGAATTGCTTAGCTCTGTTTATCACTCACTGCTTATGCTGTTTAGCATTCAAGTAATTCTATGCTGTAGTTTCAGGTGCCACATCATCTTTGCTCCTGGTATGCCCTCCTTTACTTTTTATTGAGTTAGGATTGATTCCTCAGGTTGATAATAATGTTAAAATGAGGACTAAGCTGGGCAATTAGGTCGCAGATCATGTTCGAGTGCAATTGTGCTGCTAATGGCCCACAGTACTTCAGGGATGCCCAGTCCTGAGTTGCTAGGTCTGTTCAAAATTTATCCCATTTAGCACGGTGATAATGCCACACGACACAAGGACGATATCCACAATATGAACACAGAACTTTGTCTCCACAAGAACCATGTGCTGTCACTCTTATTGATACTGTCATGGACAGCTGCATCTGTAGCAAGCAGATTGGTGAGGACAAGATCAAGTATATTTTATTCTCACCAAATGCTGCAGACCCAGACTAATGGCTTTGTCCTTTAGGACTTGACCAACACAATCGGTAGTGGTGTTGCCAAACTATTCTTGGTGAAAGACACTGATGATCCCTACCCCCAGAGGACATTCTGCACTCTTCCCACCCTCAGTACTTCCTCCAAATGGTGTTCAATATGGAGGAGTACTGATGTATCAGATGAAAGGGGGCTAGCATGTGGTAACCAGCGGGAGGTTTCCCATCCACATCTGACCCAATGCCATGAGACTTCATGGAGTC